TGGGATTTGGGAGGAAGGATCGAGGAGCGAGGAAGGAGAGGATTGGGAGGGAGAAGGTTAGCACAACTGGGGTTGAGAACATTAAATTTGGGGCAATCCTCAATTGAGGTAAAATGCTCCACTGCAACACTCCTCCTGCCACTACCGGCCAATGCCTCTGGTCTGGAATTGTGAACGATCGATTTCTATTCCCCTCCACTACTCATCAATCGATCACTCTCTCTCTCTTTCTCTGTCTCTGTGTTTCTGGGACAGAAACAAAAACAGAAACACAAAAACACACGGGTTTTTGTTTTCTAGGGTTGGGGGAAGAAAAGAGGGGTTAATGTTTTTGTCGGGAGAAAAAAGGGTTTGGGTTTGGTGAGAGGAGAAAGATTGGGTGTGGAAGAAGAAGGTGGGTAGTGGCTACAGGAGGGGTTGAGGTTGGGATTTTTCCTTTTTCCTTTTTCTGTTATCTTCTATCACGCTCTACTGTGTAACTGCGAGGTGTTACCGTACCATACCACATGTAACTTCACACAATTCAAATTCCGCTGGAAAACAAGATCGCAGGTTTTTTTTTTGTTTTTTTTTTAATTTTTTTTTAACCCTGCCAAGTTTGCTTTTGTTGGTAACAATAGCAAACTAACTTGAATCAGGCGTTAGCCAAAACCATATACGCTACCTCGCCACCTTGAGATTCTATTCTTAGATAAAACTGTGTTACCAGAAAATTAAACTTTCTTGTTGATAAAAATAATATCAACAACCGAAAAATACCTTAATAATCTATTCACTCTTTTTCCATCTGTATACATTAATATATTGCTTTTTTTTGTCCATCGATATTTATTAAAAATACTGTATTATTGTTTACGTTTATAAACCGATTTTTTTTACAAAATTATATTGTTAATATATTATAGTATTTTATATTGAGTATAAAAATATAAACCTTTTAATATAAAAGTATAGTAAACTATTTAGTTAAAGTAAACATATTTAAATATTAAATAAAATAAAATAAATTAATTTGAATTTTGAATTTTGAATTTTTTTAAAGCAGTCCTTTCCAATATATTATTGCTTTAAACTATAACTCTTTATCTATTACATTTTGATAATAATTTATACATCAATTTACACTTTGTTTTAAAATAATTTATATTTTAAAAACTAATTTTATATCAAATCTATTATAATATAAGAAAAGAAAATACTGAAAACTTATTTTAATATCCATATTGTCAGACCCCATTTAAACATCAAAAACCTCAAGTAGTGAGATCCATGTGTTGTGTCAAAAGGAGAGTGAACGTCTCAGTTAGTGGAAAACAGGTGGATGCAGGAGAGTGGCCGTTCGTTTTGGGTGACGGCAGTATCTACATGTCTTTCTTCTTCTCCTTCTCCAAACTGCTGAAACTCTTTTCTCCTCCTTCTCTCTAAAATCTCCTTCTTCTCTCTAAGAAAACATCACCATTTCTTCTTCTGATCACCTCTCAGGCACCGCTGGAACACTCCCGACATCAAGAACTTCCATTTAAATCGATCTGTTTGTGATTCTGAGCTGGTGAGTTTCCTTCTCTTTAAGCACGTTCGTTCATTCTCACATGCAACTCTCTATTTCTGGTTGCCTGATGGGATGGTATAGTTCTGAGTGTCCTGGTTTCTCTGTTTGGTCCAGTAATCCTAAAACGGGATTGTCGAACGTTAGGTCTTTGGTAGTGGGAAGTCTGCCTCGTTGAGCTTTCGGTTACGTATAGAGGTAAGAAAAGCTTTTATGATACGTTTGATTATTTGATGAGTATGAAATATGATTGTATTGCTGGTTTGGATGTGTGGATGGACGTATGATATACGCCGTGAACTGAGTTAGAATAGAGTTTAATCTTTGAACCATTTACATGGAATTATTTTATTAATAAATAAATATTAAACTAATATTTGAATAGTTATGAAATCATTAAAATATTTGTTAAAAAGATTTTGTGATACTTTTTAAAGAAAATTTTATTGATCATAAATTTAATTTTAGATTTTTTTTTCTATATTTGGATTTGAATTTGAAAAATTCTATTATTGTTTTAATTAAAAAAACTTGAGTTAATAATAAATGATAATTACTTCAAATTTTTTTTGACTCAAGTCAACCCGTGGTCAGTTAAACTGATGACCCGTTTTTATTACTCAGTCTCTTATAAAATTAAATTTAAAAATATATTTTAATTTTATTTTATAAAATACTATCATTTAAAAATAATAATAATTTTAACAATAACTATCAACAATAAAACATTTATATTAAGTATGTAAAATTGATGATCTAACTGTCGAAATGAAAAATAATATTTTAAAAACTATCAATCCGATCAAAAAATTAACAAAATTGAAAATCATTTCTTTCATTTTTTATTTTTTTAATTAAAAAAATAAAAAAACAGTTTAGAAAGGATCTAAGTCATATTTAATAGGGTTAAATATGTTTTTAGTCCCTAAACTATTGACCGTTTCTGGTTTTCGTCCCTCTTCCAAAGTAAGGTACAATTTAGTCCTCAATCTTTAAAAAACGTTCGTTTTAGTCGAAAAAACGAACGTTTTGAGGACTAAAAACAAAATTTTGAGGACTAAAACGAACGTTTTTCTAAAGAATGAGGACCAAATTGTAGACGAAAATCAGAAACGGCCAATAGTTTAGGGACTAAAAACATATTTAACCCTATTTAATATTATAAAATAAACATAACTACTTTTGTAACGGCATATCATTATATGTACAACGTTACTATTACATCAACTTAAACGAATATAAATTTATTAGAGCATTATATGCCCATATATGATATTTTAATTATACGTATTAGTGCCTCAGTGTATCTTATTTTATATTACAACTTTATAAATATTATATTTACAACTTTATTCAATCATTAGATTTCAAATATAACTTTTTTCAATTTTCTACATTAGCTATAATCTATTTATAGAATTAGCATTTAATAAACTCTAACAGATAATTAATCTATATTAGCATTTAGTACACTCTAACAAAATATTAATGTAGTATTTTTGCTTTGAAAATCTCAAAAATATTTCCATCATACTATCAAACATTACACATTAGATATTAATTCATTTATCATTTATTTTTCATTGAGATAATATTCAATTATAATATTTCCAACATAAATTATATATTTGTAAATTTCAAATATAAAATCTCTTTCATCTCTTATAACTTGACATATTCTTTATGAGTATGATTCCAGCATAGTTGATAATCTTTTTCTATACTCATCATTCAATACATTCTAATATTTCATCAATGTAGTATATTCTTTTTGGAAATCTCTACAATATCTCTATCCATACAATCAAACATCACACATTACATATTAATTAATTTACCATTTATTTTTCTTTGCATTAGTCTAATATTCAATTATAACATTTCAATTAATTATCAAAACAATAAGATATATTTTTTCTAACCACAAATTTCTAATTATTAATCTTAATTGTCAAACTGAAAATCCATATTTCAAAAATTATCTATTCATGATTTTAACAATAGAGCCTAAAAACAAAATCAAAGTGGCTTCAACGCCAAAATCCTGGAGCTTAGTGACGCCAATGCCTACACCGCTGGAACTACTAACTTTTGAGTGTCTAGTGATCACAGGGTAGCACCTGACAACTTTAACCATTGGAGCTCATTGTCATGGTTTCTACATAGAAGACATTCAGTTGTTTTGTGGTACCGCTGATGTTATATCACATTTTTAACTTCGAAATTTGACGATGGTTGTCCAATTTGATCATCTATGAAATATTAGTTCCTTTTAGTTTAAAATGTCTTATTTTAATTCAAAATAACTATAAAATAGATTAATCAATTCAAACTAGCTCCATAGATAACAATATCAATTATTCAAACAATAAATCTCAATTCAACGCTTTAATCATACTCAACTTATCAATTTAAAAAATAACCATGCAATTATTATAGATAGATTAGTTTTTATTATTTAAAGTAAAAACCTCTAAGTCAAATGTTACTCCTACAACTCTAATTCTCCCAGAATGTTTTAACTACAAAAAGAAAACGTCATTGATCATAAACAAACAAATATTCACTTTTGTCTATTTTGAGTCACGTAACTCAAAATACTATACTAACTAAAAAAATAAGCAACAATTGAACTTACTCTCTTTTGACTTTTTAATCAATTAAATGTATTGAATTCTCTACAAAAATCTCTCCTAAGATCTCTTATCATCAAACAAATGAAAAATAATATCAAAGATCTAAAAAGAAAACAAAAAAATATAAATAATTTTTAAAAAAATAATAATCTTTATAAAATAAAACTTGATTAATAAAAATTCTATTTATTATATAACATTTTAAATATAAAATAATTAAGTATTATTTATTAAAAATCACTATTACCTTTCACTTATTTTCTTTGTCTTTTTTTTTTATTTTAGATAACAACAACAAAAGTTATCTATTTTTTTTACATTCACATTGATTGCAACTATCATTTATATATTAACCAGGATCTCAGAGCTCTTTAATAATAAGATAAGATAAGTAAGATAATGAGTAACATCAGTTAATTACAAAAATTTAACAGTAAAAGTTCAAATGAAAAATATAAATTTTTAACGATTTAATAGTTTAAAAAATTGAATAAAAACTCAATTAAAAACATCTAAATTTATCATATACTTAAAATTTATTCAAGTCTATTTAAAAGTATGACTTTTTTTTTTAATAAACAAATTAGTTATAAAATTTGTAAATAATGTGAAACTTGATAGATATAATCATCAAGATAAATTAATATTACAAATGTATGAATTGATTTATATACATACATATATTCACATAAATAAACGGGAACGTCATGTACCTTCTTCACTCGATCTACTATTCAACATGATTGTCTGGAATTTAATCAATTCTAACCCAAATTTCATAACGAATTAACAAGAAATAAAATCTACGAAATATTGAGTAGGTAAAATAGGCTCATCAAAGAACAACAGGCAACAACAATACAATGCCTAAAAGAGTTATCGCACACTGAAAAGTGTACGTTTTTTATATAAATACATCATGTTATCACATACATTCTGACCACAACAAATCCTCCATAAATAAAAAGCAAACTTTTATCAACCAGGCAAATCTTATTCCTATCACAACCCAAGCCAATCTCAAAACTGCAAAACCACATCACTGTCTTCAAGGATGAACTAAGAACAAAGCCTCACCGCTTCCGATTATATGCACCCACTATATATGCACGGTATATATCAATGGAGAAAAGAGTGATTTCCCTTTTTCGAGATTCTCGAAACTACATTCACATCTGCTTAAGATCACATCCTCTTTTCCATTTAGCTATGGATCTGATTTTGTATTCACATCCCTTCTTCCATTGAGCTTAGGCTTATCCCTACTAGACTTTTGTGTGCTTAGCGACCCTTTCACGTTAGTACCACTAATCGGGTGTTTGACTATTTGAGATCCTGCACCACCCCCTGCTTAGCATAGATAAGAAATAATATTTAGCAAAGACTGGTTCTATACTAACATAATCCAGACAGCTGGATTCTCAGATTCCTTACTGGGCTTTCGACAACACACTAATCTTAGAAATAAAGATTATTGCATAAAACTCCTAATCAAAATTGCAAATTAATTTCATAGGGGGTTTACGAAACATCAGAGGTGTTATTCCAGAGACTAACATTTTAGAATGGATAATTCAAACCATGCTGAATACAGCGGAAGGGGTTTCTACCAGTCCTGGCCAAAATTTATTTGCAAATTAAGAATGCTGAAGTTTAGGAAAACTTCTCCACAACATTGCCATAAGGATCAAATTGGCACGAAGTTATTTAGACTTATTTTAAGCCTCAAAATAACTCTTCAAGTGATTGATCATCTTTACTTCCGTAAAACCCTTCACGAAAAAAACTCGTAAAAATAGCATTGCTCTTGCAACTGGGATGCATGTTATCAGTTTAATTTTAAGGCTTAAGGTCCTCTACAATAATGGCCAACCTCTGTAATGAGTGAATGCAGTTGGGTAACTTGAAATTTAGTTGTCAATCTCAAACTAGCTGAAAGTGGAATGCATCGATTGGGTTAGTATATCTATATTATAGTTCACTTAACAATTGTCCCAACCTCGTGAAACAGGTGTCAGACCCCCAGTCTACAAAAAGCAATAAAATGATCATAAATAGAATACTCACCGTTGTTAGGCAGAGATAATCGTTTTTTTGCCTGCTTATCTACCTGTGTTGTTCTCTCCTTTGGATTACTGTGAGATCTTGATCCAATTCTAAGTTTTGAGTTCACTTCTTCAGCAGTATTTTCAACATTACCCTTAGAGGTTGGCTTAACGGATTGTGTTTTTGATGATTCTAGCAAACCAGCAGACTTACTAGGTGATGAATCACACTCATCAGAAATAGTGGGACCAGTTCCATGATTTGCCGGGTTTGGATGAGTGTTTGATGAGAATGGTTTCTTGTTAGCAGAGGTCAACTGAGGTGTGGTTCCACTTTTACCATCCTTAGCTTCATTTTCATGCACAGTTACCCCATCCTTCACATTAATGTCAACAAAGCGGTTCTCCCAAGGCCGGACAGCCATCCATCTTTCTAACCAATTCCAACCCCAGCTACTTTTGTCTGGTTCAAATCCAGAGGAAACTGGCTGTTGTCTTGATCCTGCCTGCCACTGCCAAGGGGAAAATTTGAAAAATCTTACACCAAGCCTGTGGACCAAAACGATGTATCAAAGGAAAATGGAAACTATAACCAACGAAAAACCACGGATCATGTGATTAAGGAAATCGTTGGACAAAAATTCTGACTTCGTTCTACTTCTAGAAGTTCCCTACCATACATATTACTATGTTAGTATGTACACTATCAATGTAAATCATTACTAGCGACAAAACTAAGTGGCTTGATTGAATAATGTTTGAATTGGTCTAGTATTTTTTTTATTTCTTTTTGGGAAAAACAATTCCAAAGCTGTTACTACTCTTTTCTATGATTCTATATACAAACGTGTGTTTAAGGTGGACAGTTCAAAACAACTGATTGAGATGGAGTTCACAATAATAGAATAGGAAGTAGAAATTAACTTCTGATCTCTCCTGATGGAGAATAGCTAGAAGGGAAAACGACACCTTCCTGTAAATTAAATTTCGTATATTTCTTATCATGCAGACTGCAGAAAAAATGAACTAATGTATAATATTGACTACAGTCATAATTAAAAAATATGCTACTGTAAATTCACCTGATGAGATAGAGCATATGCCATGGCTCTCTCACGTTTTGCTGCTGCCTCCTGTCTCTTCAATATCTTAGCCTGAATATCTTCAACAGATCCTACACTATCACACCATCCTTCCTATATGTAAATTTTTAAAAAGTTGAGTTATTAATCACCATTAGTACATCACAATGTCCCTCAAACAGAAAATTTTGATAAGAAACTGCAATTTAATCACATTACATATGATACAACATTATCAGAGGTGCTGCAGAAAAACAAGGAAATAATATTGAAAGAATGGAAAATGGATGAGAGCAATGCCATCTTGTTTACAGTTTCGAAAATACACTCTCCAGTCTCCAATTCACATCTTCTGTGGATTATTAATTTTTTACCCTTTTCCAAGTCCTATGTTTCTTATCCTGATATACCCATCAGAAACGTCTCAAAGAAATTAAACCAGCTCACTACATTTAACTATAGGCACATAGTTTGTACCAATCCTGCTTAAGTATGAGCCTTATGATAATTATTGTGAATAAATTGGTAAATAAGAAACAGGAAATCATGTAGTCACAGTAAAGTGAAACTAAATATAGAATGAAAGGTTGCTCAGAAAATACCAATTGATGGATCCAAAAAACTACATTAAGCATAAATTTATTGCAATTAGATCCAAGTGACAGGTAGCAAGGAGGAAAATCAAACAGCCATCTCAAATTCACGCTTAATTTCTTAATACCCATCCCCCAGGAAAATGGATAACAATAAAATAATAGTGAAAAAGGTGAACTGCACAACTAAAAAAGGGTAATGACAGTTTCAGAACAGTACTCCTTAGTCCTTACTTCTATTTCTCGAACTCGAGCTTCATTTGCAATGTTTTGCTGAAGTTTCTGTTGTGATGCTTGAGTTTCCAATGCCATGCAAACACGCCTTGCCCGAACACGAGCTTGAACCCTCACCAAAGCTTGCATACAACGGAGTGTTATTGCTGCTTGTTTTCTCACTGCATGGCCTCTTACTAGGGCCTGAAGCCTTACCACACCTTTCAAGGCTCGTAATGCTCTTCTGGCCTGATACATAAAACATAATTTTCCAGGTAGGTCAAAGCTGTTGATGTTGACAATAAAACTGCTGAATTTTGATTTTTAACAACTCTCAAACAAATACAAAAGTAAATAAAAGAAAAAGACAATAAAAAAAAATCCAAAGTGCATCTCAAAGAAAGATCAATTAAATTCCAGAAACAACTGACACCTAAAGTTAGACAAGTATTGTCAATCGTGACAATATCTGATTCTTCTATGCCAAAATAATTTTTGAGAAAAAGATAGATTCCTGAATTGGGGGATGGGACGATTAAACAGCATCACATAAACACTGCCCTAAGGTCACATTGAAAAATATAATAACAAATTCAGTTTATATAATTTATTGTAATAAAAGATTTTCATCCAGCTAATGTAAATTAAGACAAATTTAATATGAAATTTACCAAAAATCCTCGAAACGCTGTTTGAATGTGTATTGCAGCCCATTCCTCCCTCATCTGTTGATCATGTACAGCATCAGGTGCTTGTTGGGAAGCAGAAGACGAATAATTGGCATCAAGGTTTGCATGGACATTATCATCTCCAATAGGTGGAGTAGCTTCACAATCCAATTCGTTTGGAAGTTTACCATTATCAAATTCAACCACTTGCCTTCGTTGATGATGTAACTTGCCAACCTTCTAACAGTTGAAAAGTTAAAAAATACAGTTATTTAACAATATATAATGAGTGATATTTTATAAAGGAATGGAACCAGAAGAACTTATTTTGGATATCTCATATGGTAAAGATGCCACCCCTTGGGTGGCTCTTAAAGATTTCATCTTAAATCTTATTGACATTATGTTGTCCTATAGGTATTTAAATCGCACCCCAGTAATTGAGACAAGTCATGTGAGACTTTCCAACAAATCTCTCACATGCTAAGGTATTAACATTGGTTTGCCATCAGGTTTGGAGGATGGCATATCTCCTCTAAAAACCAACTGGTATAAAGTGAAATTATGCTATAGGTATTTAAACTGAGCCCTAGTTATTGACACAGGCAATGCAAGACGTTCCAATAACTCTCCTATGTGCCAGCAATAATATTCGCTTGCCATCGGATTTGGGAGATGCGGTATTCCCTCTCTTCTCTAGTGGACCTTATTTTAAATTTTACAAAACTCAGTTTGTATAGTTTCCAGGAGGAAAATTCCTTGAGTACATACTAACATTGAAAATACCAATAACAAAACTAGTTAATCAAGGTGAACCATGCTGATGAAGAATAAAAACAACTCTACTAAACGCCCTCTGAGAATAACACGCACAAACACAAAAACAAGATTTTCCCACTTAAGATGGAACCCAAGCAACAAAACTCTTGCTTTTCTTTTGTGGTAGTGTGGATTCAAATAAGTACATGGTGATACAGAACCTCAGTTAAAAACACCACATCTGACGGTTATTTTCGCCACCAGATTATGGAAAGAAATACTAAAACCCCCGATTACGAGAATGAAATGTTATGAGAAAGAAACTTACATTTCCGTCCTTCTGAGAAGACTCTGGCTTTTCTGATTTCTTTAGACCAATCAATGCTCTAATCCACTTCCCTGATACACCCATTTCCAGTGCAATTTATCTCAATCTAGCACAAACCTGGAACAGAAATATATGGCAAAGTCAATGCAAAAGTAGTTTAGTATTCACAATCTTCACTGGCCTAAGAGCTATGGAAACAAAAAAGTCAAGACCAGCACAAAGCATCGATGTGAGCAAGCTTAACATACAAGGTTTATTTAAAAATGACAACTAATTCAAATATGTCACAGTAATATGCCTTCTTATGACTTTTATAGTCTATATTGGTTATTATGATTGGTCCAATTTCTAAGCTCATTTTCAAAATACTAGTACTTTACTGAATTGGTTACATCTATGGGAAAAGAGTTTCACTTCTAAGCAAACATGAGCAGTGAGGCCTGAAAAAAGTACCACGAAATCTGCCACAACAGAGTTACTACATATTACTTGATGAAAATGCACCTTTTGAAATTACCAGTGTTTACTCTTTTATTTCTAGTTTGGCTTCATGACTAACACCACTTGATCAAGACATTGACCTCGTATAAATCCAAGACCATTTATAGAATGAAAAAGGGAATTACATGGAATAGCTCCATTGAAAAAGCAACATTTGATGCCATGGAGGATCAGCCATAAACTGCAAATCTGAACAAATGTTTTTTTCGTTGTCATGTGAAGGCCTGGATAGCCAAGTGATATTAAGAAATGCAGCTTGTACCAGACTACAACGTTAGGTTTATGTGTGCATGTTAAATTTCAATAAAAAGTGTGCTTCAATAAGGTTAATCCGAGTGGCGAAGTCTGTTAGAGTGTTTTAAACACATACACACACAAAACTAAATAGAATTGCTTAACAACTTGACGAAAATGTCTTTTCAACTCATGGAAAAGATGAAAGCACGAAGCTTGAACTAGTGCACTAAAACTGAAGTAACAACGACCACGAAAATTGAAAACTACAGATACTACAAAGATCGAGATCCTATGACAAACAAAGAAAATTAGATGAGCAATGATAACCAGGGAGGTTGATAATTGCACTAAATTAAAGTAAACTTGGTTGCTTGAAGAATGAATTTCGTGAGACATAAATAAATGCGCGATAGATTTGGTAACTTCGCAACAGTTCAATTTAATGGCATTAAAACCTAGAATTCCAACCAAGAAAAACTCAGATCCAGAGATAGAAGCTTTGCAACACAATTCACCTTAAAGTCAAGCAAGAGAGATTATCACAGAGATAAAATTCACCATCAAACACGAGAATGTGGCGAACCGTCACTGAGTCAAATGCCGAGTTCTCGCTCACGCAAACTCAGTGCCTATTCAGAAGAGTTCCATGTGAAGTTGGTTCTATATCACTCCGCAGTGATGTTCAATAGAAATTAATAATAATAAAAGCAAAGAAAGTAGACAAAGAAGATAAAACAAAAGAAGAGAAAAAAATAATTGTGTTGGAAAGAGATGAACGGTGAATGAATGTAGAATGTAATAATTATGATAAAAAATTGTAATTATAATGATATTAAGTGAATGAAACTTTGGATAGTATCTGCTAATATTTTAATGATATTAAATGATAACTAATATTGGTTTTAAAAAAGACGAGAGGGAGCACGAGAACAGAATCAGGATTTAGGATAGGTGTGGTCTAACGTGCACCGGGACGATAGCAGCACGCAAAACGACTACGTCTAGCTGTCAATGGAGTGATTCACGGAAAAGTGTTAATGCACTATTCCCACCATATGTAGATCATATTAATCTTGTTTAGTTAATCAACTTATTGAGATAATGCAAATGGCTATATTTTATAAAGTTAAACAGTGTGTTTGAAGATTCATTATTCTCTTTGTTTATTTATATTTTAGTTATTTAAATTATGCATTATTTCTAATTACACACAAATTAGTTTTCCAAATTTAATTTGTCTTAATCTTCATCTTTGTCACCCTTTTTCTTATTTGGTTTAATTGGAAAATTATCTGCTGTAGACTCTTACGACAAAGTCATTAAAGATTTAACTATTTCACTGATTAATATATAATAAATGTCATCACTTTTTTATCTTAATATTTATAAATTTTAGGATAAATTTTGAATTATTAACTATCTATTCATGATTTAATTTATACTAATTGTGTTTTGTTGTAAACTAATTTTCTTTAATTTAAAGATAATCGTTCAATCTGTATAACCTAATTAATTGATTTTTGAGTGATTGTTTTGATATTTATGTATGGACTATCCCATTTTAGGTTAAACAAAGAGTCATACAATAATCAAACATTTACACAATACAATATTCATTTATTATATTATTTAATTTAACTTAAGTTACCTATTTTATTCTTTATATGTTATTTAATTTAATTTATGTATTAACTTATATTTTTGCTATTTTATTTATCAACAGTATTTTGACTCACAAATATTTATTTATTTAAATCTTTGCTTTAGTTCTTATTTTATTTTGTATTATTTTAAACATTTTTTTAATTCAACAAAATACATATAAAATAATTTTCAAAACAATTAAAAAAAATATTTTATTCAATAATTTTGGAAAAAAAATGAAAGTTACATATTTGTATTTTTATACTTTTTTATATGTTTCGCTTATGTATAGATTATTAGTCAAATATGTATTTTTATAATTTTGTAATTCTACAAAATACATATAAAAGGAAAGTTACATATATGTATGATCTTTAAAAATGTTTAGTGATATATCAATTGTGAAAAAAATTGATTATAATCAGAGTAAACCAATCTAACTTATGATGTTTGCGTTCTAAAAATCGTACACTAGTGTAAGGATGGTGGGATTTAAGGAAATAAGGAAATATCTACTAATAAAATCTTAGATAATTCATAATAATGCGAATATGACTATTTGATACCAGTTTAGTATTATTAAGACAACTTTAAAAGTTTTTTTTTTAATTTAATTTATAATTTTTTTAAAAAAGTACAGTTTTTATTAAGTAAATCATTTCATTTTTCTGTGTTCGTCCATGTGCAAATATTTTATTGTGTGATTCTAACACATATCACATGTTACTTACAAAAACTCAACAATTATTTAAATACATTATAATATTATATACGAAAAGAAATTCATCACGAGCTTGATTGAGTCACATTCAACCATACAACATGTATATATGCATTATTTTAAAAGATGTCTAAAAAATACAAAAAATACTTAAATGAAAATTCAGATTACCTGTAATAATATTATTCTTTAAAACTTTTATGAGTATATGAATTACAATCTTATAAAAAAATCACAAAAAAAAGGTAACATTTTTCTTATAAAAAAATAGTAACTTTTACAAAATAAAACTCAATTAATTAAATATTTTATTTATAATTTAATACTTTAAAAGTCAACTTTCATTTTTAAATAATTTTTAGGTCCTCATGATTATTATTTTCTATTAAAAAGTAAATTAAACAAATGTAAACTAACTATAGAAAATTATTTTCCTAACTTCAAAATATTATGAAATAAAAAATTTTCTAATACCAATTGCCCCTAAGACTCCTTTTGATAGACAGAAAAAATTTCTATACCCAAAAATCATAATTTTTGTAATCATAAACACAGATAATTATGATTATTTTGAATGATTAAATTTTGATTTGATGAAAATCTATTTTCAAGAATATTCACCAAAGATCACAAATTCGTCTCATTATTAAAATGATTTAATAAAAGTAATACGATATTTTTTTTTCATAATCCTTTTACTCAACAAAGTCAATTTCCAATCTCCCTAAGGCTGTTTTTGGTAGAAAATTTGGCCAAAAACCATCACCAAAAACTCTACTTGTTGAAAAGTTAAATTCTAACAAGCAAATCAAACTTGAGAAACATATTTTTCCAACATTAACATTCCAAAAATTCTAAAATTTCTCTTTTACCAAAGGTGAAAATTTTATTCATGTGATAAACATCTTAGAACAAACAAATCAAAATTAAGGACAGCATTTCTTCAATGACAATGACATAGGTCTTATCAAGGAATGGAACCTAACGAAGTCAAGTCTGGCGCCAGGAGGTGGCAAAGGAAATGATTTAAATAATAAAGTAATTAAAAAATAAAATAAAAGATAAAAAAAACCTTCCATTTTCGCTAAAGAAGGATCTAGAAGAAAAACCTAGATCCGTCAAAGCTTCAGATGGATCCAACGGTCCACAATTACTCACAAAAACTTGCGAATAAAAATTCTGGATCCTTCTGCGCAACCTAAGAATATTTGAAATTGGATCGTGGCCATTTAACAATCAAGTATGGATACTATATAAACATGCGAGACGAAGAATTAGTGAATAACATTTGCTCGTTGGGCTTATTTCTTCTTGCCTTGCATTCTTTGGAGATCTAGTGCAGCCACAACACGCGGAACTCGGTGAAAACTAGGGTTAGGGATTCGAAGGTAGAAGAACAAGATGTTTGGGAGAGCGCCCAAGAAAAGCGACAGCACTAGGTACTATGAAATCCTTGGCGTGGCCAAGAACGCGTCGCAGGAGGATTTGAAAAAGGCTTACAAGAAAGCCGCCATAAAAAATCACCCCGACAAAGGTGGTGATCCCGAGAAGGTAACAGTCGTTGATGTTTATGATATGTAGACATAATTTCGTATTTGTTTTGATTATTACGAATGACGATTTGAATGGTTATTGATTGATTAATTGATCATGGAATTAATCAATTGTGATGTGATATGTGGTGATGAGTTTTTCTGATCAGTAATTTAGGGTTAGGGGAATTAGAGGAATGGATGAGAGTTGGAGGATGTGATTGGATTGTGAATGGATGGTGTTGTTTTTCTATTTTGTGATGTTGAGAATTGGATGTTGTGGTGATTAATTCGTGTACTTCTTTTTTGTCTAGTTCAAAGAGCTTGCTCAAGCCTATGAGGTTCTGAGTGACCCTGAGAAACGTGAGGTTTACGATACTTACGGTGAAGATGCTCTTAAAGAGGGAATGGGTGGCGGCGGCGGTGGCCACGACCCCTTTGATATCTTCAGTTCGTTCTTTGGTGGAAATCCATTTGGTGGGGGTATGGTTTGTTTCCCTGTTTATTGTTGGGAGGAATTTCCTTCAATTGATAATTGTGTGAAGAGTCTTAAAGTGGAGTTTTTGACTGTGGAGTGTGAACAGGTGGTAGCAGTAGAGGAAGGAGACAGAGACGGGGAGAAGATGTGGTTCACCCTCTGAAGGTCTCTCTGGAGGATCTTTATCTTGGAACGTCTAAGAAACTCTCTCTCTCACGAAATGTGTTGTGCTCAAAATGCAATGGGTATGTGTCGGGTTTAATATCTTTAAGGGCAAGTTATCAGTTTTTTTGTCTACCTTTAGGTAATCGGTTTCTAATTGGTTGCAGGAAGGGTTCAAAGTCTGGGGCTTCAATGACTTGTGCTGGTTGCCAGGGTAGTGGTATGAAGTTGTCGATCAGGCACCTTGGTCCTTCTATGATTCAGCAAGTGCAACATGTTTGCAATGAATGTAAGGGCACCGGAGAGACCATCAGTGACAGAGACCGATGCACTCAATGCAAGGGAGAGAAGGTTGTGCAGGAGAAGAAGGTTCTTGAAGTAATTGTGGAAAAGGGAATGCAGAATGGGCAGAAGATTACATTCCCTGGTGAAGCTGATGAAGCAGTACGTATAGCTATTGAGTATAAAATTTTGTATACAGACAATGAACTGGATTATGGGACTTAAGCTGACATTGAGCTTTGTGTTTTGCAGCCTGATACAATCACTGGGGATATTGTATTTGTCTTGCAACAGAAGGAACATCCAAAGTTCAAAAGAAAGGCTGAAGACCTTTTTGTCGAGCATACTTTGTCTCTCACTGAGGCTCTATGTGGTTTCCAGTTTGTGCTGGCTCACTTGGATGGTCGACAACTCCTTATCAAATCAAACCCTGGGGAGGTTGTCAAGCCTGGTATGCAAATTGTGATTCTTAGTTGTACTTGATGATTGAAACTTGGATGTTTTTGACATGGAATATGTTATTTCTTGCATGTAGATTCATACAAGGCTATAAACGATGAGGGAATGCCAATGTACCAGAGGCCGTTCATGAAGGGGAGGCTTTACATTCATTTCACTGTGGAATTTCCTGATTCTCTGAGCCTTGATCAGGTGAAGTCCATAGAGACTGTTTTGCCAGCGAAGACTTCATCACAAAAGTTGACAGACATGGAGCTGGACGAGTGTGAAGAGACTACACTTCATGATGTGAACATGGAGGAAGAGTCAAGGAGGAGGCAACAAACTTCGCAGGAGGCGTACGAGGAGGATGAGGACATGCATGGCGGTGCTCAGAGAGTACAGTGCGCTCAGCAGTAATGAATGAGCCACAGGAGCATAGCGGAGTAGTGTGATGATCTTGATTATCATTTTTA